ATAATAAGCCTCCTTATTTTTAACATAACAGTTTCGTTTGATCTCCCCGATTCGGCAACTTATATCAATATAGAATACCATGTAAATACCTCCATAACAGATAAAATTGCGTTTGACTGAAAGCATACATTATCTAAAACAATTATTTTTGAAATTTCATTTAAAAAATGATGATTAGTTGATCGCAGCTTCATAATCTTCAATAAAATTCGTCACTCGATCAGCCATATAATCGCTGATCAACCCTTTTAGAGCGAAGTATTCCAATAACACTCGATGAACGTACAGATACTGTGCATCACTCTAAAATTTCCACCGATCTTATCGTTATCATAACTATTTTTAAGCATATCATCACACTTTCACCCGAAAACTTGATAAGTGAATCGATTCGAGGTAGATTTGAAGTGTTGACGATTAAAAATCAACTTCTTTAAACATTATGAACTCAGTTCATAATGTTTAAAGAAGCTAGTCGACGCTGGAAAAATGATGCGAACCTGCAAAAGATAAGCACGTTCGGATCGTAAACGTTTCAGTATCTCATTTGAACTTTCAGGTTTCTGGCCAGTCACCAATGTCTCCAGTATATAAGCCATCATGATCAACGTTCCAGTGCGTCCGATACCAGCTGTGCAGTGCACTACGATCGGTGTCCTGCAGCACGTAGTCGCAGTTTGATAATCGGATGAGGGAGGAATTTCGACACCATTAATCAACCATAAAATCTTCAGTCAACAGTACTGAGTGATAGGGAAGGATGCTTTGCATCAAATGAAAAAATTTATGATGTTCAAAATTTAATCCAGATTAAGAGAATCAAACGAAAGAATGATTCAAACAGTGTCAAATGCACTGCATCTAACTGTTCTATTAAATTCGTGTTATTGTCGCTGACTGTCTTATTATGCCACCTCATTATCTTTTTGAATATGGCATTATTCTTGAGGAGCTACTATACCAAATATGTCAAGAATAGTGCTATCGTCATTGAGTTACTGTATTGATCACTATCATTCTTGTTGTTGCTATTATTATTATACAGAATTGATCAGAATCAAATTAATCAATTAGTCGGTAACAGAAATAGTTAACAAACTTGGATTTTCGTATATAATTAAGTAGAGAAATCGGTGTGAGATCAGCTGGTGGCACCTTTCGATCAGGCCAATTCAGCCATTGGAAGTGATCAACGGCATGGTAGAACACATCATCTACCATTATCGCCAATCCAGAAATTTGTATCGTTACTGTCCCCGAGCATTCCGGATGCAGCTTCAGCTGAAAATTTTCCTCATTACATTTCATTGCATAAATTACCAAATTCTCATCGTATCCATGAGCTTCACCATAAATTATTGTAGGAAAATGTCATGTACGATGATATTGCTGAAAATATCTTATTCTTAGGTCGATATGTTTGTTTTAACAGTGCTATCATTATCACTCATACTTATCATTCACATCGCAATTCATACTGATTTTCTTAAAATATTATGTTATAATGGTTATCACTTATGTGATTCCTAGGTGTATGGTCGCCCTGAATATTGCTTTATTGCTTTCATTACCATTCCGAATACTTCTGTAATGTTCTTCAATTTTTTTATCAGTGTTATTGCTCTCTTCGCTACTGTTGTGATCAAGATTGCTGCTACAGTGTTGCTAAGGTTCCGAACAGCACTTGAGGAACGTGAATCCTATATTGAGAATAAGCAAACAATCTAAAAATTAATGAATAACCTTCCTAACAACGACCGTTTTCACAGTAATATTGTCAAATTTCACCGATGTTCCAGGTTCCCGTGACCAATACTCAAAACACTACAAAATTAACTTGTAACAATGGCTTTATGGTCGATCAGCTTATCAAATTACTCACCTTTTACGGTTAGTATAAATCGAAACAGTTTGAGAACAATATCTAGAATTCTCTATGTCACTCCGGATGTTTTGAATGTATCGTACCGCTATTGAATGAAGAGTGCTAATATAACTTCAAGCAACTCAAAGTGAAGAAACATAATGAGAAGGGGACCTTTGGTTTGCCATTTTCTTCAATATTGCATAACATAACGATTATACAGCAACCATTCTGCAAAATCATTTGCCAGAAGTCATAAGCAGTTGATGGTAAAGGTGCCTGAAAGCTACATATTAAAAACATCTATATTTATTCGAGATTAAATCAGTGGTTCAGTTCATCTTCGAAAACTAATGACTTGGTTTGTCTCATAATCAGTAAGATGCTTTCATTTGCTTACAATTAGAGTTTTTGGTTATATTTTCTGAATTCACAACCATTTCTTTACAACTCGTTGATTACATATACTCGTTGGTGAATTCTCATTCTTTTTTAAGGTGGTATAGTCGCTCTCGTCACTGTTTTACATTG